AGTTCAATAAAATTTTGAATGTGAGTCAACAAACGAGATGACATGGTCTTTCACATGTGACCCCTCTCGAAAGGGTTAAATAATACACCTAATAACACAGAATAATAACATGTAAAAAATGGACAATGTCCTATAACTATCATAACTTTTCTGGCTTTCTAACTTTGTGATAAGTGCTGTTAAAAATTCAGCTAAGCTGTGTTTCCCATGGGAATAAAGTTTGAACTGGAAGCAAAATAGACAATTCTCTGTATAGAAAACAATGCTTGATAAGATTAAAACTTTGGCTTTTCTATTGGTTATAAATAATATAGTATTAAACAACAGAAACACTATTGGCAATTTGTGGAAGAGAGGATGTGGCAGGTGGGTGTCACAAGACGGGTCTGATTTTCTAGTTTATGACTTTGTAACCACATAAGATTGAAGGCTATAAAAATTATGCTTTGCCTGAGTAATAAAAATATTATAATGAGTAGTTTACACTAAATTTCATACTTCTCAGAGGGGTGTTAAATAAATTAGAGAAGGGGGGGAATACCTGGAGAACAAATGTAACAATTCCCATAATAGGAGAGATTGAGTTGTTTTTTTAAATATTTCCTTATAAAATTAAGAACTTACAACTTAAATAATATTAAAATTTGATTTATTAGGTATATAAGTTTATTCGTATACCATGATAACAAAGTAGTTTAATTAAATTTTGATGTAACAGTAAAACCTTGCAACTTGTGCAGAAAAGGGTACGCACATGGAAAGGGTTAAGTGACATTTCCTTCTGAATACACTTTTCTAATATTACAAAAAAAAATACCCCTAAATTAAATAATATTTTTTTGGACACAATTAGAACCAAGCAATCTTAAATTTCTTTTGAACCATAAGGTCAACCACATTTCATTTAATTCAAGAAAAAATATTTTGTTACATTAATTATATCTACCATTTATGTTTACAAGTAAAATGTAAAATATGTCTTTACTTGACAAAACTTTTCTCGAGATGATACATATGGAATGATGCTATTGCAAGTGAACATCACCATTATGTACAACTTATGAAACATTACTATACAATTTAAAAGATTTAAGAGCTTACCTTTATTTTAAACCAAGAATTTTCTGAGCTCTGAATGTTACTGAGTGGTAGTGCTCTCCTGTAACTAGATGCTAAGAAAATTAAATAATTAAATTTTTATGGTATCAGAACATAAACACTTTTGTTCTCTAGAAAAGCCTAAGAATCTATAGTTGTTAGAGTATGTTTTTATTAAGACTTTGACTCTCATATTATTAACCTGTTTCTGAACCAATCACTAATGGAACCATGTGGTAGTTTTATGTTTTTGCCTGTTATTAAAATACTCAGTGTAATTTCTGATTAAAAAAAGAAAGAGTGAAATCACTCATTTTCTATGGTAAATACACGAGGAGCCCCATCACTAATTAGTAAGATTTAGTTCAATAATAACAGTATTTCCATTTACATTTTAGTGTGATTCACATAAACATGTATATAAATCCCCTTAATCATAAGCAACTTGGTGCATATAGTTTATAAAAATGTAGTCAAAATATTGAAGTGGTCCAAATCCCATCAATATACCAAGTTAATCTACAGTTCTATGTTTTTGTAAGACTTTAAACCTCAGACACCAATATTATAAAAATGTACTACGTGCACAAAAGACTTGGTGAGGTAAGGAGAAAGTCTTATTTGTAAAGCAGTTATTTTTTTTACTCTCCAAAGAGTCTAATGAGACTGTCTTGTTTAAACCCCAGATATAAAACTAGAATTATTTCTTTTTTTTATATTTCAATGAGATTTTAAAGAGTAGGGTCTAAGTTGTTTTTGTCTTTTAAAAAGATAAGTGGTCGATTACTGGAGAATAAAAAAAAATTCTAGTTTAAAACGGAGACGTCATTGGCGATATTTACAGCTTTTAGTTTCAACTTTCACCCATTTGTCTCATCATTTTACTTGAGAATAAAAAAAAATTCTAGTTTAAAACGGAGACGTCATTGGCGATATTTACAGCTTTTAGTTTCAACTTTCACCCATTTGTCTCATCAATTTCTTTTATCCATGTTTGTTTTTAATTTATTACTGATGGGAGATTCATATTAGTAGCCTTACGATCAACTAGCATTTCAAAGATGGCTGAAATCACCAAACATCACAGAGAAAAGCTAATCAGGAGTTGAATTTCCTATTCACCAATAACATTTCTTTATTTTCTCCCAACCATACAAAAAAATCATTCATATGATAAAGGTGAAAGAAAACATTATCATACAACCAAATATACACTGATGCAGTAGCAACAGAGTTGTAGGTAGAGGTAAACAATCCTATATATATATAAAATCACTCGTACAAAAAAATAAGAAAACTTAACTATATCTCATACATGAAGGCTCATCAAAGGGGCTACTGTAAATGAGATCAAGATTATTTTCAAGAAACTTAGAAAATTCAGAAAGAATGCATAGTTTGTTCATTATACAGTGCTATATACTTAAGTCGAGCCCACCAAAGTCAACTGTATTGAAAATTCCCACTCTATGATTCACTTTACTACAGCAAAAAAGTACGTCATTGTCTCAACATCAACTCAGATGAATAACGGTTGAAGTCAACAGAAAATTCTGGTCTCAGCATTCATTCCCACTCTATGATTCACTTTACTATAGCAAAAAGTACCCCATTGTCTCAACATCAACTCGGATGAATAACGGTTGAAGTCAACAGAAAATTCTGGTCTCAGCATTCATTCCCACTATGATTCACTTTACTATAGCCAAAAGTACCTCATTGTCTTAACATCAACTCGGATGAATAACGGTTGAAGTCAACAGAAAATTCTGGTCTCAGCATTCATTCCCACTCTATGATTCACCTTACTATAGCCAAAAGTACCTCATTGTCTCAACATCAACTCGGATGAATAACGGTTGAAGTCAACAGAAAATTCTGGTCTCAGCATTCATTCCCACTCTACGATTCACTTTACTATAGCAAAAAGTACCTCATTGTCTCAACATCAACTCGGATGAATAACGGTTGAAGTCAACAGAAAATTCTGGTCTCAGCATTCATTTTCTTTATGTCTATGTCAACAACATGCATAAAGAGCAGTTCTGAAGGTAACTTCAAACTATAACACACGAAAAGTGTAAACCATGTGCTTCGTTGTTGTACAAATCCCCCTATTAACCATCATATAAACACCAAAGTTTAGATATTACAACTTTGAATTTTGTAAGAGTATCTTCACAAAATTTGGAAAACTTTTAGTAAAGGTTTCAAATAGTTTGTGCACGCAAAAAAAAAAACTATTTTTTTTTTCATTAAGTATTTTTAATAAAGATTTGTCTGTGAATTTATGTAGTCAGAATCTGACTGGATTTGTAACTAAGGGAAAAGTACCTTAAAATAATTCCTTTAAATAGTTAAAGAGAACTCAAAACCTCAATCTCACAGTGAGATAAGTGAAACATTCCAGTGTATGAAGAACAGTGCATAAATAAGCATTGGAACCGATGAACAAAATAAACACTTCTAAGAAGAGCTAGTTAAACAATGTATATTTTTGCAGCATTAGAAAGGAGAACCTGGGAAGATGGAGTGGAGGGGGGGGATAATAAATTTAATTTGTTCCATGTGACTCTTCACCATTTTGAAACGGCAATACCGACAATTTATGTGTGGGCTCAACAGTATCAACATAAATAAACAGCACTGAATACAGGTAGTACAAATATAATAATAATAATAAAAAGTAAGTTTCAGAGGGGCCAACTATGACAAGTATAAGAAAAAAATAGAAAAACCATCTCTTCTTATCTTATAGATAATACAACAGATATATATGAGAAAGACAATAAGTTGAATTTTGTAAATACTTTTTTTCCATAATCAAAACAATTTTTTGAACATTTAATATGATACTGTTAATATAAAAATACATAAACCTTACCAGCATTACCACCACCTTTCCCCCTGTTTTTCTTTCTTGAATCTTTATTTTTCTTGAAATTAGAACCCATTTGATAAGGCTTGCTATAAAAATACAAAACCCAAATGCATTAATGTTATTTTTCAATTTGTTACAATAAAAATGAACATTCATATTTTGTATACCATATATGAATTATTCAGATCAAAAAATAAAAGAATGTTCCAGCTTCCTACACAAAAATATAACCTCTGAATATGAGTTGTATATTACATAATACTATTTTTTGGTATAATTTGAATGAAGGTTATTTTCCAATAGTTGTTTAAATTATTTTGTAAATCATACTTCTCAGTTAAATGTCTTCAAAATGCAAGTGTTGGCATGACTTATAATAACCTAAACTTAGAAATAAGACCTTAGTTTCACAATGCAGATGTTAGAGTGACTTACAGTGAGCTAAAACCTTGGAGACAAGACCTCAGGTTTACAATGGGGGTGTTAGCATGACTTACAATACAAGTCATAAGTTCACACTAAAATAAAAGTGGTATTATTAAGCCACTTGAAATAAGGATTAGAAATTATAAAATTTTGATAAACAATCAACCATATTAGGATAATAATTGTGTTCAATTAAGGATAGAGAGTTAAGCCTCACAGGTAAGATGGGAATGTGGCAACTAATGACAGGTGGCAGTGCAAGCCTAAGCTTGGGAGTTGTGCTACAAAATTTCTACATGTCAACATTTCTTGCATTGTTCAAATTTTATACTGCTGATTGAAAGTTACGAGTTCATTTTATAAAGAACACAACAAGAAAAAACATGTACTTACCCCGGCCATAAGAAAAACGAGAACCTTACACTGACACAAATAATTTCTTTTTATTTATTACTCTTCAATATTTCAAGGTAAAATACTGAGCAGTAACTTCTCTGGAAAATACAAGATTTTTTTTTGAGTTCTTTAACATATACATGTTAATCTAAGGATAAGACCAATAGATTTCTTTGGCTTTAAGTAAAATGTTTAAGATTCTCATGAAATAATGTTTAAACGAACTCAGAGCAATATGTCTTGTTAAACTGCATACGTATAAACATGTCAAGTTAGTACTGTGAAATTCTGAGAGTAACATTTATACATTATTTGTTCTGATGTCATAATCCTAGATTGATGTTAACCCCCTCCCCAGAAAAAAGTCAAAACCTGACTGTTATCAGTTGTGGCAGTTGTAATGGATACATACATAAGTATCATGAAATAACAATGTATGCTGTTAATTACAGTACTAATAAAACATGATTTAAACTCCCCCCTCTTCACCAATTTCCCATCTTCAATATACTGCTCGTATAATCATAACTTTAGAATGAAGATAACATGCCTGCACGACTCTCCTTTCTCGCTTAAATGTATCCCCTTATTTGTTATTGAAAACAAATATTCAACAATGACTATTAAAGTAGGTTGGTATACAATTATATTCCTCTGAAAGTACCTGTAAAGTATCACTCTAAAGTATAACACAGTCGCTCAATATCGTTCATCCCTTATATCCGAGATTATGATGGAGATATAGATATGGTTGTAATTCAGCCCTCCTAGTGTGTGAAACACCTTCAACATCACAACCTACAGAAAAAGTTTACAACCATACCATATACTCTAAAGTATATACTTACAACCATTCATCCCTCAATCTCTTAAATTACAACCATATCTATATCTCCATCATAATTGGCTCTCCTAGTGTGTGAAACACCTTACTATCTACTTTAAAATATAACAGATTATCACTCACAATCGTTCATCTTTTGATCTTTTTGAGACTCCAACCATATCTATATCTCCATCATAATTGGCTCTCCTAGTGTTTGAAACACCTTACTATCTACTTTAAAATATAACAGATTATCACTCACAATCGTTCATCTTTTGATCTTTTTGAGACTCCAACCATGTCTATATCTCCATCGTAATCAACTCTCCTATTGCGTGAACCACCTTCATCACCGTAGTCTATAGTAAAAAAAATTGTGAGTTAAAAAAAAATAAACATTTCTGATACCACATTAAGTAAGAAAAAAATCACACGCATACTTTCACATATAACTTTCAAGAATTATATATATTTGTTATATTACTATATAATTAAATAAAATCAAAAGAGTAAAAAAAATGTTTACAATACCTTTGTTAAACAAAATTATGTCTGTAAAAAGAAACCTTGAAAATCAGATTTGATCATATAAATTGATACCAATACACTTATGTCAAATCTTATCAATCAGTAAAGGTGTGACATCACAAAAATAATAATTTGGATCACATCTCCTCTCAATGGACCAAATCAGACTGCCAGTAAGAAAAGCATATAATAGCATTTCAATCATAACAGATACTGTAATATCACACAAACTAATCGAAGAACTCAACAGCTTTAGTTTGAAATCTAACATAACTATTTCATTGAAGCCTAATGTTACTGCTTCAGATGCTTTTTAAAGAGAGAATATGCTTAATCTAGTACAGAACAGTGTCTATTAACTACAATCATCCATGGAATTTAATCTGTACATGGAAATGTAAAAAATTAGTGCTCAATTTCATTTACAAAAATAAAAACATCTATCTTTAAGAGTGAAAATATGGTTTCTTATTTCAAAATTTATAGTCCATGATTTGTTTCATTTATTCTAAGAACAGCAAAACATGACAAATGCAAGTAATTTTTTTATTATAATAAATGCCTCAAATAAATACCTGCAATTGTGATAAGCCTAACTTATGAAAAGTAGATAAGTGCATTGACTAACTGATGTTGCAGAAATATAAAAAAACATTAACTAACACCTCCAAATAAACAAGGCAAAGATGTTTGTGACACTGATAAATAATTGACAAAATAACTGCAAAAACTCAATAAAATATTCTTATAATGCAGCCTCCACATGTAGAGTTATAAAAACAAGTTATTAATATTACATTTTAACATAAGAAAACTGCAACCAGGACAGTTTTTTCTCTGTTGCAGAGTAACTAAAAGTTGCTTTGCCTTTTGAAGGAAAAGCTTGTGCATAGTCTATAATCAAACAAGTACATCAAAAATGGGTGATTACTTATGAGTATCAAGTGTTAAGGCAGTAATATAATATTTTTTATTTAAAGAATTTTTGACAGGATATCAATAATATTGTACGATTACAGCCATTTCTGAACGTGATATGAAGAGTTAACTCTTTCACTGCCCAGTGAACTTCAACAACTCTCACACTGCCAAATTTATTTTTAAATTACAAGAAAAAACCCAAAACATATGTGTTTTGATATTTTAATAGTTATCTAAAACTTGTAAACTTTGGGAAGTTTGGAAGGGAATACTCATTCTTCACAGTCGCAAAAAAAAATCCAAACTTCTACGTGGTTAATATCACTTTTCAAGGGTAAAACACAGGTTATATTGTGTTCCAAGTATGTGCCCAAGGCAGTTCTCAGTGGAAGACATATGTGCCAATAGCAGGAGAGAGTTAATGACAGACCTACTTAAAATACAAAACAATATATACCCACAAACATAAATATGAACACTATGGGATTATAAATGAACCCACCTAACAAGTTTTGGAAAAACTATACTAATATATGTAAAAATCCTAATTAAAACTAATACAAATTGACAATTTAAAATAGAAAAAAAAAATTTTGCATCTTTAAGCTGATACAGTTTAAAAAAATATATTCCAAATAAAGTCCAAGATCAAATGCACATCCACCGAAATCACTGTCGTACTGCTTTTTATGCACTGTTTATGGCAAATATCACATTTCTAAAAACAAATCTTGATGACCTACGCCTGTTATGTCTAAAATTTCTTTTGTTGAATTTTCTTCGCCTGTCCATTTGCACTGTCCTGGTGTCTCTGTCATCATGTTCTGAACAAAAAAAAAGTGCATGTATTGAGTAAATGATAAAAGAGAAAACTAAGATATTGCAAACAACTGAAAACTAATTACCGTTTTTGGTTCACTTTCAAAAAAAAAAATATATAGGGGGTGTGAAAATTTTTTAGATGAAAAATATACTGGCCCACTTTTGTTTTTCACAATAATAACTACATTACAGCATGTTGTAAATATACTTTTTTTTTCCAGAACCCACATTTTCCAACTTCACTCCGGGTTACTGAATGTGCATACAATTGACAACCACATGCCAGAGTCAGAGAAATTAATAGGGAGGACATCATACGGATCATAGACCATGAAGTATGATACCATGTATACACATACAGCTCTATACAGTATTACAAGACTAAGAATAATACAATTTGCAACAGCATGTGTGATGTACATGTAAAATCTATAGGCATGTTAACCAGTCTACAGGGTTATGAGTGAGTGGGCCAAGTCATTTTGCCCAAATAGAACTATTTCATTTTGTACCAATAAATTGTTGCATTAAAAATAACTATTCTAAACTCTGTGAAAAAATAATCACACAGATTAGAAAGTGTTCTAACTATGAAACTAAATAACTGGAAACTTGAATTTACAAATCATTAATTGTCTCATTCATAATTACAGTGCTCCAATCTCAAAATATTTGGTGACATAAATATTTAATAAGTTTAAGAAAAAATAACAGGTAGCATTTTTATAAATGTTAATAATTAGATATGTAATTTGAATTTTACACACATGTACATATTTTATGCAAGCAGAACTGCATTAACCCCAGGCTAGTATGTATGGAATACACAGAAGCTCAAACTCAAAATTTGGTAGTTCTAAGCTTTGAGTCAGTGAATTTTTACACCCTTGCCTGGAATGTCATTCCTTTTTAAAAAGCTTCAAGTTAACATGACTTGTAACAAAGCCAATTTTATTGAGTGAAGACCAAAGTTGGTACTTCAGTAAGTAATGATTTTTTTAAAACTTTTAATGAGTCAGTTAGAAAGCCAGACAGATTATAGTAGTTTGGGGACATGCTATTTTACAGATTGAATTATATTATTGTTTACATTTTAAAATGCATATCTGAAAGCTAAAAGAATTACATTTTGAATAACCAACTTAATTAGAACAATTTGGGATTAATGAATACCAGCTTTTGAGAGCAAAAGGCCTCAATCCTGAAGTGTTAAATTTCATTTTTTCTTATGTATATTTTTTATTATTTATACAAATTTTTAGCAAAGTAACTAAAAATTAAATTTATTAGGTTACATAAAAAAAACTTAAGCAGAAAAAAAAATTTTCTTTCCTCGTGTAACACACAAGGAACATATGTAGTTAGATGTTATATGATGTAACCTGAAATTATATCAACCCTAAACTTTCCACAGTCCCGTTGGGTGATTTATTGTCATTTCCAGCAGTTAGACATGGTTCAAAGAATGCACCAGCCCCATGATATAAGGTTAAACAACTAAAATCATATTCAATGACCCCCATTCTCCAGTACTTGACACTTACTTGTGTAGAATATATATGAAACACAAACTATACACTAACACTAATAATTTTTATGTTTGATTAATCAACAATTTTATGTTAAAAACACTATGACTGTTAACCTGCTTGGAACACTGACTGTTAAATAAAGATTTTTCATAAGTCAGCTGAAATTATTTTGAATGGTTGCAAATATGTGTTTTTGCAATGTAAGCTTATTATATGTAGTTCCAAGTATAACAAATAGTATCAAATATGCACATAAAGTGTGCATTTTTTATTTAAAATATAAAAACATGACTACTGTTCTATGACACACATTTTGAAACTACACATGAATGATTAATTTCATACATATGGATTACCTGTAAAATAATAGGGTTTTCAACTAAATATACACTAGTAATTATGATGAGCCATCAGCAAATTATGCAAACAAGTACTACTGGTAATATGTTCTAAACTTTTAAGTTAAAATCTACCCTTTGTTACATCCCTACTAAATGTAAAAAAAACAAAAAAAAATCTAAATACTTACGAAGCCTTCTCTTAAAACTGGAAGGGAACACTTCAAAACATATACCATAATGCCTCAAATGAACAGTACCTTTTTAACCTTTTATTAAATTTGATAATTTTGCAAACCATTTTTCACTGAAATTTCAAAAACCTTTTCCACCACTGATGTAAAACTGATATTAATAGACCTACAAATTATAATTACCTCAAAAATGTTTATCATACCTTCAGAACCAAAAAAAAAAGGGTTAACATTTGCATACTCCCTATCTTCTGGTACTTGCCCACCAATTAAAGACATACAACAAATACTACTACCAGCAAGTGCTCAGATATTCAATCCATAACCATTTTCAAAATCATTGGAGAAATATCATCTGACCCTGTGAGAATTATAAAGACAAAGGTAAAAAAGACAATGGAAAAAAAAATGGCATAGAAAATTACACAAACAGATAAAAAAAATGAAATATATATATATATATATATATATATAT